ATAAGAAGCTGATACACATTCTCGCTGATGGACACTTCCAACAAGCAAATGTCTTTCGCGTCTCACAGCCAGTGCACAAACATCTAAGTCAAAACTATGCTGATAATGTCCGCGCCTCGTCTCTATATTTCTCCGTTCTCACTGTCTCACACCCAGTTTCTATTGGCATATCTCGTGGTCAGCCCTTTTCTTTGCCTTTCTAAAACGTGATGATTTTTGTGCAAACAACTTCCAGTCTACTACATTTAAGCACTTGGAATATGTTATTAATAATAGGAATTTGTGAGCTTAGAAGTGATCCTCAACATCTGCACTAACTTCATCTCTCAAAAGAAACTGCGCGAAGGCAGTGACTAAGCTTTCTGTCCTCGGCAGAGGCATCCGGCCTAGTTCTAAGAATGGGTGTTCTGATGTGTTATAATAAAAAGGAAGGAAAAGCTTCACGCACAAAATACTCACATCTGGCTTCAGTTCATGTCCAATTTCCAGAATTCGAGTTAACTTCGCCTGGTCATCGGGACTTTTCACGTAAAAATTGGACAGAGCGGTTAATATTGCTGGTCTCAGCTGTGCTTTATCTTCGCTATTCCAGGCTACATTCAGTACAGCAACAGCATTTGGATGACTCCCAATCAGTGCTGGTATCAGTAGCTGACAAAGATGCATTCGCAGAGTCGACGTCGGGATCTGCAAAAACATTTGGAAAATCACAGTCGACCGAGAGAGATATTTTCGCAGTGCTTGACTTCTTTCTTCCATAAATCCATGTCAAAGTGAGCGCAGACCTGTATCTGCAGCAGTGCCAAGAGTAGCACATCTGGACATAAATTGACCGGCCGAAGCAGAATATTCAACACAATATTCATGAATTTCTTCAATTCACCCAATCGAACCAGTGTATCCACCAAGTCCAAACAACGCCTAAAAATATCCAAAAAAAAAAAAAAAAAAAAAATTGAAAATGCCGAATTTCCTCATGCTACCTGCATATATCAGAAGTTCAGGGGTGACATGTGTGGGGTAAGGAGTTCAAAAAAATTATTAACCTACCAGTTACTCAATTCTCGTGTCTCTTCTGGTTGTACTTTTAGCACTGATAGATTGACTGCTTTGTACGGGTAATCAGCAAAGCAGAAAACGTCCGTGTTGAGCAAAATCTGTTCAATCCATGATAGCTAAAAAAAAGCACTGCATGTTGCATGCAAACGCGCAATTCTGTCCGACTTATGCTTCTGTTCCAGAATTACATCAGTACTGGAAGAAACGAACAAAAACCTGGCCGAGTTTATGAAAATTCCATTCCCGATAAAGCAATCCTATTGGAAACGAATTCGAGCCGAGCCCCTCAAGCAATAACGCTGTTAATAGTTGTAGCTGCGGCTTATTTCGCACGACAAAGTTCGTCTGATCAAGGTGCATTATAACTTCCGACCAATTCAAAGTTGGAGCCTAAAACGAAAAACACAAAAATTTCCATGCAGCTGTGAGCTGAGAGAAACAGGCAGAAAATGGACCAGCCCCGATCTACAACTTACCAATTCCCGAACAGCGGCTGCAAAAATCCTTGGATTCCAGCTGATCTGCTGCACAGGCTGTGAAGCTGCACCTGGGGGAACATTAGCAGCACTGTCAGAGAGACTGCTCGTTGCTGCAGTTGTTGACAAATTTTCCACCGAGGAGCCTGTCGCAAGAGCTGAAAACTCACAAACATCACCGCCCGAGTTTTTCAACTATTTGCAAAAGTGGAGCCGACCGGGACTGTTTAAAACTAGTTCATTACGCTTCTTTTACATATATTTCACGGAAATTTTTAACCAAACTCAACATTCACTGACGAAATATTGAAAATATAATACTGACAGAGGCACGAAGGGAGGGCGGATGAAGTGGGAAAAGAAGGTTGTGCGAAGAAATTGGCAAAGCTAATCACTCCGCGACACCTGTCATGCAAAAATGTACAGTATTTATTCTAAAAATCCTACATTAACAAGAAAAAAAGTGAGGAAATGCGTCGGCGAGATTCTACAAATGTAGGTGAAAATACGATATGTGAAACGAAAAGTGGTAACGGCAAAACAGTGATATAGCTTGTACTGCCCGTATTGGTCTTCCTATTTTACCCCTCACTGAAAGGGCCGATGTTTATAGTCCTGTTCGTGGGCTCTTTACAGTTTTTTCTACTGCTTATAGGGCCGTTACGGCCCGTACTGTCCCTCCTATTTCATTAAGGTCTGCCAGTAATTTACGCCGAAGTAACACATAAAGATATGCCTTTATGATGGTGTGCTCATTGTGGAAGTACGTCACACATCACTTCAGCAAACTTCTTTACCCTCTTCTCTTTGCATGCTTTTTTTTTCTCTTATTTCATCTTGCAACTCGCTATATTCGTAAAACATGGTGATTAGGGAGCTGTACTGATGATTCCCACCCCTAATCACGTCTGTTACTGTCTGTGTTTACAGCTTGGGGATGAAATACAGGCAGGCTTTTTATACATACACCTTTCACATGACTTCTATTAAATCCGACCTTGACTTTTTTT